AACTTCGACAATAAAACCCGTTGATAAGTATTAGATTTGCATTAAAACATTGATCCTAAAAACAAAAAAATATATTTTCGGAAAGTATTTGCTACACGTTCTGAAGCAACATTTTTAGCACACCATGCTGTTTTTTTATATATTAAATAAAAAATATATTATATCTTTCTCAACATAAATTTTATATATTGATTGTAAAGTTCGACAAAGCAGCAGCTAATCCTTTAGCTTCTTTGCTAAAGCTGCCAATGAATGTTAGAATTCTACCCGTAACATTTCCAAGTGATATAACTATTCTAACGAAAGAGATCTGGCAGAGACACTTTTAAAACTAAAGTCGGTTTCGACCAAATTTCTATTTGATTAAAACACTTTCCCACAGAAACAATTGAAACTAAATTCCCTGACCTCAAGTTTACTTTGAGGGAAAACACAAATTAGGCAATATGACCGTACCACGCACAAAACGGAAATTTTTAAGAACTTAATTTCGTATCATGTTTCGTTTGTAGAAACCCTGTTCTTAAAAAATAAGTACCTTACATACAGAAGTACACCTAAGTCAGTGTGGATCTAACATATTAAACTATGAACACAGCTTCAAACAAGTAAAACTTAGTTTGTGGGCATATATCTTTATAAAAAAAATGAATATATAGTAAAGCATACATACAGTTTAAGTTACATTGTAGGCATTAGTTATTTATCTCTGGACCTTAGTATTTTCGATTTACCAACATTATTAATAATCATGCAAATATCAATTCGATATTGTACACTTACATCCGAGTACGTTGCGTAGTTGGCTCATCACTTATCTCACAATTTGCTATGGTTCTTTGGCGAAGAACACAATACACATAGAATATCCTTTTAGAGTTTGCTGAATCTACTAAATCGAGTGATTGCTTGCATTAAATATTTAGAAGAAATACTCGAAAGTACTATTGCTTGTATGACTAGATAACAGTCGATCTATAAATATATTTTAATTCTGGTAATAGTAACTTCGATGACAGAATTCTATTCGACGTTCAAATTTTATATAAATTGAGAAAAGATGCAAATGGGCTTAAATAAAATGTATTTATTCACCAAAACTATATACCCAAAACAAAAAAATGGTGGCATGATCTAGATGTGGTTACGTACTCGTAATTTGTATTTTCATTCGGACTTGGGCTTAAATGAATTAATTTAATTAGAAAAACTGGGTTTGAATTTTGGTTTGGTGACTTAAACATATACCAAAAAAACAATAGCTGAACTTAGATTTAATTCGTGTGACATTCTTATTTTTATTTCTTTGGCGAATATTGAACTTTTATAAGTTTAGAATTTACATTTTTATAAGATTCTATTCTTAAATTTCCATGTAAATTTTTATTATTTAATTTATAATTGATGACGTGACATTGGATATATTGTTTATTTGCAACAATAGTCTATCTGAAAAGTTTTGTTACATATTTTAAAGAAAAATCGACCCACTCCAATACACATTTTTTTATATATTAATGAAATTGTTCTTTTTCATACATGTTAGATTTAAGAATGTTGAATTTGAAGTGGTGGTTTTGTGGACCAAAGCCCACTTGAACTTAATAAATGGTCTGTTATAATAACATGGATCAGAAAAGTCTATAAATTTGGTCGAGTCCCTAATTCTGCAGGATGGCAGCTCTGTCACATCAGTAAGAAAGGCACAAGTCCCTTATTTAAGTGAAAGTAGACTAAACAAGTCTATCATTTTTGACAAATCTCTAATTTTGCAGGATGATAGCTCTGTTAGTTCACCAAGAAAAGGCGACATAATACCAACAATAATCATTAGGGGGTAGTTACATAAATTTGTTCAGTAAGTCGCTGAACCTCTTTTTAGCGCCTTGATTGGATATATTTCGGATTACAGGAAAGGATTTCATTGGACGACATTGCTTTCTCGCGAATGTTGGGCAGTGCAAAAGTATATTAGTACTAAGTTCTTTTTACAATTTATTTTTGTAATACTGTTATATATATTATATATATAAATAAAATTTAATATATTCACATACATTATGTTAAACCTTTTCCGAGTTAGTGCATCTAGGCACTTTTACTCTATTATAGCTGGAGAAGATCTGTAGAGTCTCGCCCATCTCACTGACTAATTTGAGTATTCCTGATAATCTTCGTGATTATTTAACGATTGACCTAAGATCTGCGTACTGCCCCGTACGGTTAGTGATTACTCTGAGATTAGATAGTGCTAAGTAGGGCAGCCTGTCGGTTTTCGCATAAGTATAGCTTCAGAGCTCTGTTTCTTATGTATTTTTTGACCGGATCCATTCTAAGGTCTCTTAGCATGTCATTCGTGCAGATGTACCATGGCACTTTGAAGAGCTTTCGGAGAGCCTGACCTTGAGCAACTTGTAGCTTTTGGATTGTAAAATCGGCAGCTTTGCTATACGCGACACACCCATAAAGTAGTGCTGGTCTAATTATCTGGCCGTAGATCAGCTTTCTGTTCTTCACGCTAAGGTTGTTGTGTTTGAAAAGTGGTTGTAAGCAGTGCAGTGTTTTTGCGCAACTACTTCTTTTAACTTGTATGTGCTTGTGCCAAGTGAACTGCTTATTAAATGTGATGCCTAAGTATTTAATGCTGTCCTCCCACTTAAACGCAATGTCACGGACTCTCACTCTCGCTGGATGTTGCCTGTGTTTACGAGTAATAAATAGGGTTTTAGTTTTCTCATTGTTAATTCTTATTTTCCACTTCTGAAAGAACTCCAGAATGAGATTAACATGCTCCTACAGCGTGTTGGTCACATTTCTGGCAAGTTTAGCGGACTATAACAAGCAAGTGTCATCCGCGTATAAGGATAGCACCGAGGGACTTAGCATTGGGATGTCAGACGTGAAGATGTTGTACAACATGGGGAAAAGTAGAGATCCTTGTGGAACACCGGCTTCTATTCTGCACACTGACGATATGGTACTGTTGATTCTTACAAAGAACAACCTCTCACGCAGGAGGCTGCCGAGGATTTTGATTAGCTCTACTGGGATACTAAAACGAGACATTTTAACTATCAGGCCGTCGTGCCAGACCTTGTCAAATACCTTGGCGATGTCAAATGTAATCATACTCGTTGATATCATGTTCCACATTATTAAAATGTAAAATAAGTTATATTTACTATTATGCTATTATGCCTTGTACTAACATATAAGTCGACGGACGGCATTGTGTCACAGTTGCTATTTAGATTTTATTTATTTATATATTAATTTTCACTAAACATATTGTAAAAATGAAATTTTAAAATGAAAATAAATATACATACATACATATATTATATTAACTATATTTATAATAATTGACATAAAATTATTTCTTTCACACGAATCTTTGTTACAAATAATGTCATCTAATGGAGGGCTTATTATATATCCAAATAATGCAATCAAAACCAAATATTTAATACTTTGCTGTTATTTTCATATTAATCTATGTACTTCCTAGTTTGTTAACAGATCTATAAGCACCTTTATGATCTTTACCTAAATGTCATAAATCAATCATAAATGCATAGTTAAAATGTTTCAAGTATTTTATTAGCTTAAACATATTGTATCAGAAAATAAAATCGAGTTTCCTTTTCACTACGACACTACGAAAGCTTTTCATAGATACGAGTACGAAGTGCATATACTTTCATTTATAAAAATATCAGTTGCGATACATTGTGTTTATTATGATAATGTATTTGTAAACATTGTGATTGTGATAATCATATAACCAACTCGCTACCGATTAATAATGCCAAACAATATTTTGGTGTATATTTAAATAAAAATCAAAATGCACCCAAACAGGGACGACAGTAGGTGTTAAAAATAATATTGAAAAATCAGTAGAAATACAAAAATATTAATAATAAAAAAACAAAGAGTAAATAATAACTAAAAAAGCACATTATTATATATATATATATATATATAGATATGTATATATATATATATATATATATAAATATATATATATATATATATATATGTATACAAGTTAAGTACACAAAAAATAACTGATATCTTTGTGCCATACTTGGTATCTCTGAAAAAATCAACACACAATCGGTTTGTGTACATATGAGAACTGATATTTGTACAGAACAATATTGATAGAGACTCGTATAGATACGATACGAACCACACTATATTATGGATCCCAGTTGGGACGTGTGTACATTAGTACGAGTCTGTCCCCATTTGCGTATGTGTATTGATTTGTATATTATCGATAATATTTTCTTTGCATTTAGTTGAATTGAGTTAATACCTTTTTGACTTTAATAAGTTATTGTAGAGCATTTAAAGTGAATCCGATTGAGCCACTTCACGCGTTCAACCTTTTCGATTGTAGGATCAAAATTTAGTGTACGAATTTTTGTAACGCAACGCAGTACTAAAACGCGGACTTTTAGTTCAAAATAGTTTTAAAATTGCAATAAATTCTTTAAAAAACTGACAGACGCGTTATTTTTTAATTATAATAAATTACACATATAGTACTTATAACATTTTTCTGATTAGCACAATTCAATAAATTAATTGAATTAATTTAAAAGCAGTCAGTACACAATTTTAACAAACGATAGTGGCATAAACTAAAAATTAATAAAATCAATAATTTAATTAATTAGTAAATAAAAATTGTTTTGCAAATCGCCGTCGGTAATTAGACAAATAAAGAATTTTCCGTTTCACGGTCGACCAATTAAAAGTTTTTAATCAAATCATTAAAAAGTGATCAAATTCCAGTCAAAGTATTAAAAATCGATTAAAGCATATTTTGCCAATACTAAAAGTTAATTTAAGTGATTTTTGCATAATTTACTTATATACTAACAATAAATATATTAAATTGTAATTTAACAAATAATTATTATTGAATAATATTGATCGTAATATAAATATTTGAAAAATATTTAAAAAAATTACTCTGTGTTGATTGAGATATCAAATTTATAGTCTGAAATTATGACAAATTATAATCCAAATTGTGGTTATTATGAGGATTACAGTAATTACTACACAAACAACATTTACCAACAGGATTATTGCATGCAACAGGATTACGAATATAACAAACATTATGAGTAAGTAAATTATTTATTTATTCAATTGAAAATTTTATATAGTTTATTTCTTTATACTTTGAAATTATTTATTCAATATTTATATCTTAGAAACTAACACGACAGCATTAAAATTAAATTGGGTTTAAACAATACTGAATTGCAACAACAACAATTTTTATATATTTTAAATTAATTGAATTTTTGGTTGACACTACAGCTATTTCGAGTATTGCCAAAAACTCATCATCAGTGGTCTTGGAATTATTTCTTCTATTTAATTATTTGTAAATATTTTTTATCATAAACAGCTAAAAGTTCAATTTAAAAAATAAAAAAAAATTTTTGTTGTTGCAATTTAGTACTGTTTGAAACATCTCTATTATATACAATAGTTTCTATTGAATAAAATAGCAACTGCAGTCATATCTAATATATAAATATTTAATCCAAATAACAGGAAAAAATTAAGACATAATATAGAGACAAAATGATAAATATAAATTATGAAGCATAGAAATGATTTTTCAGTTAGTAAAGTTATCTTCTTTCTTAGCATAACAGTTGTGATGAACTACCTATCTTCATCACACCCCACTGCCAGTGGTGAATACTGATCAATCATCTTTCTCTGAAAGTTACTCTAACTAATGCATGTTTCGCTACTCTATAGATATATATTATTACAAAATGAATGAGTTAAATTTATGGTTTATTGAAGAATAAATAAAAATGGGTAAAATCTAGAGTTTATATATCAAGAAATAATACTACACGTTTCTGGAATGCTATCGAGTATTTAAATTCTTTCAATCATAACATTAACTTGTATTTATTTATTAAATATAATATTCTAACTTAAAGTTGAAATTCATATAAATTTAAATATATTATTACATATTAAACATATTTAAATTTTATTTTAAATAAATATTTAAGAGTTAAGGTACACCTACTTAGATGTACACAATTTTTGTAATAGCATTATTCATTTTATTTTATATAATATTTTTATCAAATGTTGATTTAAAAAAAATATAAACTCTGGCATGACATCAGTCTAATGTCGGTAATTGAATTATATTGAAAAATTTTGTAAATTAAATGAAGACATAAATAAAATGAATGAAATAAATTAAAAATTAAATCGATCTATTAAAAATTTTTTATATGTTGACTTAAATTTCCATTTTAAATCTATTAATAAAATTATTAATTTTTTTTTTAAAAAAAATTTTATTTTTTTTTTAATAACAATAATTTTAATAACTGTATAAGTATTTTCTAAATCTCCATTAACACTCAATTTTCATTAAGATTATATTGAATTATTAAATTTCGAATTTGTTTCTCAACCTGGTCATGTTAATAATGGTTTTTTACATATTTTATTTTCGACTATATGTCACAAATAATAGATATTAAAAAATATTAATAAAATATAATACATATATTATCAATTCGTCATGTTATTGCATTGCAATATAGACAACAGAACTAATCACATTACAAATTGATATATATTATAATTTATTTATATTTATTAATATCTATTAATTGTGACCTGTAGCCGAAAATAAAATATGTAAAAAATAAAAATATTATTTTAAATAAAATCGTATTAAAATTGATTTGAGCATATAGTACAAAACTTCAAGGAATGTCTGCGCTCTAGTATTGGAATCCACACCCTTGCTACGCAACAGTCTTGTAATAGCTTTCATATTATATACATATATTATATATAGTAAAAAGATTCTTGTAAGACAAACCACTTTAAATAAATCCCATACATTATGTATATAATTAATCATTTTTGTGTAAAATTTCAAAAACAAAATATTTCTGAGAAGTATTAATAAACAAAAGTTTTGAATACTATTTTTAGAATTCAAAATATATAAATTTTAAAATTAATTTTAGTAAATATAAATAATTAAATAATAATTTTAGTGTTTATACAGTGTCACCTAACAATACTCCCTTATCGTATTTAAAATCTATGAGAAATAAATGAGCGATTAAACAAATTTAATAAATCAAGTGCTAGTTGATGTCACGTGAATATGACTCAAAATAATCATATCAACAACCGAATGAGTTGTACATTATATTTAGCAATTGGTCGCTATATATAATTTAATTTATAATATATTTTAAATGCAAAATTATTAATATTAAGTAAATAATTTGTAATTAACTTGTCAACTGTAAGTCAGGTGAATATCTAATGAAGTCTGCTAAAACCGAAAAGAAACGTGACCGTACTCCCCCATCAGCGCGTGATTTCAGTTAAATTATATTAAATCTAATTAATTATGTAGAGACATGTTTGTAAATATTTGAATATATAATTAATTCTTTATAATATTTTTAATTTTTAATAAAATTAATTTAAACAAAAATGTCATAGGATATCTCTATTTATTATACTTTACTAACTAGTAATACGAGTCTTCTTTAGGGAATGCCCAATAATGTGATAGTTTCCTCCACGTATGTTTAAAAATAAGTTATTCAGAATATATTCAAATTTTATTGCAATGTAATGTTAAAAATTTGTAAAATTTGCGAAATAATCGAAATCCGAGACCATTATTTAATATAAAAGTTAAGTGTGACATATTTTTTTATCGTCTTAATAACCATACTAAGTATACTTTTGTTTGCGATATTCTATGCAAATAGTAATAAATAGAAAAATGGGGTTGATCTATACTTCAGTGCTTCCAATGGACAGATTCACTTATGAGGTGACTGATTCTAATGTGAGGAAAAAGCGACTTTTGTTACAAATCGTTACTAAAAAAATTTGCCTGGAGCTTCATATCTTGGACAGTTGATTAAAACGTATCTTTGCTTTAAAAGTGCTTAGTCAGTTAGTCAGCTCCGTTTTTGTCCGTAATAATGCTATAAGTAGTACATTGAACGCATTCTACGTGACCATTAGGAACCGGTATAGATGTTGGAGAAGAGATCTTTTTGCTATACCCACTTTGCACATAAGATACAGATTTTTACATCTTACAATGCTGTTAAGGTTCATCTTACATTCTCTGATCATCTTTGAAGAACTTATGGGGTTAACAAGAGCTTTACGTGCAACTCAACTATCACTGCAAATACCCATGCATTAATCAGTATTTTCTATATTTGATATACGAGACATACGACCTTAAATTCATCTTAAATTGAAATTTTATCTTAAAATAAATAAATTTTAATTATTATTTCGTATATTTTTTTATTAAGATTATACAGCATATTCAAATCTGTCATATTAACCTAACAACTTAATATTATTAAAATATCAGTTCATTATTTTAGTACTATATATCTCAGACTTGTGAATATATCTTTGGAAGATAATAATATTGTTATTGAATTTCTAATTAAAATTCAAATGCAATTTCATATATATATTACAAATGTTTTAAAATGTTTGCAGTATTATAAAAAATTAAAATTGCATTAATGTAAATGTTAAACTGACCTGATTTATTTTATAGATCTCACAAATTAAAAATATTGTTGCGAATAGGACCATCGCCTCTAAAGATCTAAGAATAAATCAATCAACTTATTACAAAGCTTAATTGCATTCTTTATTTAATATAGACAGGTAGATGTTTTTTTGAAATAATATCATTTCAGTGTTAATCCCAACAGAGATATTCGGGGTTACCTAAGGGAACATCTTCTTAGGGCTAAAAGGAGTTGAAAACTCATTTCATTTTTTAAGAAACTGAAATATAATTTGTTAAATGGATTAGAGCCAGAAAGAAAAGAAGAAAAATATAAAGCCGTCGTCACACGGGCATCAAAATACAAAGTGAAATTTATCTATAACATATGTAATGTTATGAAAACTTTATTGAGTAAGGCAATTTTTTTTTTTGTAAGCTTGAGTTGTTGATATGTTAGAATTATTACGGGGTTATTGACTGGTCACTGTAGATTAAATAATCTTCTAACGAAGTTAGGAGTTTAATCCAACACAGAATGTAGATATTGTAGAGAAGAGAGAGAAACTGCATACCATGTGCTTGAGGAGTGCTCGACACTGATGCACAAGAGAAAGAAACATAAGGATTCAAGACTAGAAAAGATAAGCTCAATACTGTCTTTCATTAAAGAAATCGGACTTGGAGAAACAAACTAATCCGACTAAGGGGCACAATAGATCTTTGAGGTCGCAGTGCACTATCCCTTTTTACAATAATATATATTATAATGATCTGTTACTAAAACACCAAATGAATATGACTAAACACTAAACTATAGCTTTTAACACTTCTTCCACACATGTCTGATTATATTTTAATATATGATATGGAATTAATTATTTCAAGTTTATGTACTTCCTATAAACACAAGTTGACATAACCTCAACTTGTTCGATTTAACATACCCGCACGCACTTCCTTTCATTTTCCAAACCAAGTGCGAAGTACAAAGGAGAGAAAAAATCTGCAACAAATAAACGCTAGAATAAAGGAATGCGGAATTAAATTTCATTAGGACAAACAGCATTAGCTGAGATTATCCGTAGGTATATACAATGATTATTACCAAACCCAATTACCAATTTATCGTCATAAAACCGTAAAGGCACATATATGAGTAGCATATTCGGTTTCATATATTTTCCTTCTTTGCAATTGATTACCCATGAGCTGGTGCTGTTTGTATGCATTCTTGTCAATACATCAAATCGTAAAAACCCAAACATCAAGCAAACAATTGTAGCAATTGCATTTGCAGATACTCCGTCAAATATACAAACAAATGCATACGCATATGTCAGATACTCGTATACTCGGCATATATGTTTGTATCTAAAGGAATATGTGCAATTCTTATCGTCAACTTTGATGAATTTTGGTTAGCTGTTTGCCAAAAAGGTGACAGAGTAGAAATAATTTCTTTTGTATCAAATTTTACTTTTTTTTTGTATTTGAGTATTTATATTTTTAAATTTGTGTTTTGTATATGGATTTGTTGGGTGATGACTGTAACAT